GACTGATTGACATGCACATTACTTAATCCGTTTGGAGGAAGAAAAGCCATTTATTCTGGGCTACCACTGGAGAATGTTGAAACTCGTGATTCGGATCATCTTGACCGGCTGATAATCGGCGATAAATTGCGCCTACCACAAAACTTTGTGTGGTTATGGCAAATGATGTTTTGCCAGTCGCTGACAAGCTTGACGGTCACATGGTGAATTTCGTACATGCAGCCCCCAATTCTTTCCGGTTTTTTGGTAGTTGTCTCTTCTAGCCTTTGACTAACCGACGTATAACTGCAAGGTAGCGGTGACATTGGCGGCGTTTCTTTAAAACGGCGGGCCGGTTACGCCTCTACATGAGAGTTTCATTAGAATTTGTGACTTTCTCAAAGTTATTAAGCTGCAACAACTCATCCACGCTCCGGTGATCTTAACGCTACTTGTCCCTGACTGCTTATTTGTCGCAGCTAGCTTCTATATATGTGGGTCGTTAGCCTCTCCGCAACGCTGAGATGCACCAAATAGCCAACAGCTAGACACACTGGCCATCTCATAACTCATAAGCTTGAAACTCATAAAGTTAAAAATAGGTTCTAAACAGTGTAATTTGCAGTTACATATAAAGGAGTACCTGCTCCTGAAACATCATGCGTGATTAAAGTGAGATGGTACTGCTGAATGGAATTATGCGATATCCATCTGTCGCTGGAGGCACTCTAACACCGTGGAACGGTGACTTGCTCATATGTTCTCCCAAAACAACAGTGTATAACCTTAAAATGTATTCCCACCCTTCTGCATTTCAAATGAGAATTTAAAATTAGCTTAATTATCATCCCAGAAAAGCTTATTGATCATTCCGGGTTTGCTAAGCGAATTTTGTTGTGATCACTGTTGATTCAGTCGTGACCTCTGTAAATGATTCTTTGAATGCAAGTGATTGCGAAACAATTAGCTGTCTTACCGTTGGAAGGATGTTTGCGAGGAAACACCGAACGAGTACGAGAATGCCAAACGCAAAGTCAGTGACCCTCATTAGCTGCGTTATACAGCCTTAAAGAGAGCAAACCCGGAAGTGGTACGTCGCTCTACTGGCGGTGCGTTCGGAAAGTCACAGCGATGCCTGGGTGATCGTTAGACAGACGTTGACTGAGGGGTGCGTTTGTGCAGGCGGATAGTTAAACTGAGCATTTCCTCATCGATTTTCCGACCACGTTGCGAAGTTCGCTTTCGCCGCCAAAGTCGTCCAGTGAATGCTGACATCGGATTAGTACCACCGGTCAACCGAATTCCTCGTCGCACTACTCTCCTGAGGTCTATCTTTCAGTGGCATGAAAGATATTTTGAATGTTCCTTTTGTTAAAACCAGCTTATGCAGTTCTTTCTGATCCATTATATAGTAATGCAACGGTCATCATTTTAAATCCATAACTAGAAAAACACAAATAGACCCAACGATTGACTGGATATTCGACGTGTTTAGTTTAGTTTAGATCGAGCTCTCACCGGTTCTCTCGTCTTTTTTCTTCATGGGGTAGAAAAATGGCACCATTGTGTGGGAAGGGAATCAGCGTCACTACGCACTTGCTGTAGGCCCTGCCTTTAAATATGACGCGCTTTCTACCGGAGTGGGACTTTTGGTGCTGACCTCTCGGTGTTGTCAGCACTCGGTGCTGCGATCGTTGCTTTGAATTTGTATTACTGGGCAATGGTCACTTACATCAACTGCGCAATTCTGCCCATCGTGTTATATATCAGTGGATAGCTCTTTCTGAATGAAGATTTCTTGTTACAGTTCCAATTTGTGATGAC